CGAAGCTCGCAGCGCTTGAGCACGAGAACGCCGATCTTACGGCAAAGTTTACAGCGCTTGAGCACAAACATGGCGCGCTTGAGCACAAACATGGCGAGCTCGAGACGGTGTTTGCAGAGCACCTTCGCGACATGCAGCACGCGTCGACAACGTTGGCCGCCAAGTTCAACCGTCTCCGTGGTCTCGAAAACGACGACGACGACGATGCGCCGCAAGCCATCGTCTCTGCGCCGACGACACATGTCATTGCTCCGCCTGCGGCTGGCGAGCCTGCGAACAACGGCCCTTTGGCCGAGCCGGTGGTGGCACACAGTCCTGCCGAGGAGCCAGCGGCGCCGAAGCGCGCGGGCAAGAGTCCTACCAAGACCCCTGTCGCGTCAAAGCGTTCCAGCGAGAGTTTTACCGACAAGCCTGCTGCGGCAAAGCCTGCGCGCAAGGATTCGATGGAGAAGCGTACGAGCGAGGGCTCTGACTCGGAGCGTGCTGCAGCCAAGCGCCCACGCTGCGTAGTATACGATAGCGATGGCTCGGACCCAGATGTGGCACCCTCGGCGAATATCACGCCGGCACCTGCACCGGACGCCCCGTTGAGCGACGTCGCGCGACTGGAAGCCCGCATGGACTTGACGCCGGCGCTTGTCGACCGTTTTCTCAAGTATGCTCCATGTCCCTGGCACCAAGCTTTAACGTCCGATGCGCGTAGCGACCTCCAAAGCCGTACGGAGAATGGTATCTGCGATGTGACCAAGCAGGTCTGCCGCATGCTTCCAGCATCCGTGCTGTCGTCGCTCATGGGATCGGGCACACCACCGCCGTTGCCGGCTGCCTACGGAGGCCTTCTGTCGGCCGAGATCATCGTGCTGCCTCTCTTTCTAGAGTACCCTCCGAACCGAAATGTCGTGCGGATGCTCACGCTGCTGTAGGAATCACTGGAGCGTGACCATGGTGTTTGGTCTCCACGATGCAACGAACTCGCCTGCGACCATCGTCTTCTTAGACCCGATGGACAGCTGGCACGACGAGATCGCCGTCCGAAGCCGCGTGCGCGCTTTCCTGGTCAAGGTGCATAAAGTGCACCGTCCGCTCGCAAAGGTCAAGCTTGCGCTCAAGGAAGACTATCTCAAGGTGCAATGGCAGGATAATCTCAACGACAGTGGTATCTGGGTGCTCCTCAACGTGCACCTTGCGCTGTGTGCGTGCAGCGAAGCCCGCAAGATCTACCCCACTTCGCCGTATGCAACCTGCTTTTACAACGTGACGCTGGGCCATTGGCTCCGCGAAGGGGTCCAAAATGCATTTGGTATGACGGTTCAAGAAAAACGCCGAGCCATGCTAGAGACGCTCCGAAGTGACTAGGCGACTTCAACATCGCATGAAACTCGTCGTAGTCTCTTTTGTCGCGTTGGCTGGGTAGCAGGTGTTGGTCTTTGTTGCCAGCTTACTGTTTGTTCTCTGGCGTAAAATATATGTGTGTTGACACCTATAGAGCACCAATGAGCGAGCTTAAAAAAGCGCAGATCCGAGAGCTCAAGCATCACCTATTATAGAACGAGGCCACGCGCTAGACCCACTTCAACAAAAAAACACTTCAACAACAACGAGGCCACGCGCGTCTTGACCTCGTCGTCGTGGTCAAGTAACCAATGGCTCTCTCAACGGAGTCCACTACTCGCATCACCGCGGTCGAACCAGCGAGCAGCAACGCGGATTGAAGCCGGCGAGGGCGGTCCTGGTGCAGAGGCCGTCCGACCGCGTCATTGGCTATACTGCGTGCTCCAGCGCGATGCTAGCAACCCTGCTAGCAACCTATGCTTTAGTCCTCGACTAAACGATAGTCGTCGGTCACACTCAACGCCAAAATGTCATCCATTTTGGACACACATGCAAAAGTATCAATATCCCTGACCAATCAGAATCGCGTATTTCATCATTCCCTTGAATCGACCGATATTGTGCACGGTGGGATCAAACGACGAGGCGGGTGTGCTGGAACCGCGACCAAGCACGCGATTCTGCAACGAGTCAATCCTATCCCTTGAACACCAACTTGCGTCAGCAAGCAGAGCCTAGAAGAAGGGCATAGAGCTCGGCCAGCGATATTTTCCAACCGACCAATCAGCGACGCCAAGTCGACCAAGACTCTTCGATATTTTTTGCGATGCGAACCCGGCCGAGCACGACAACGGCCGACGACCCGATCGCCGCGCTTGAAGAGCTTCGCGCTGCGCTTCGTGCTATCGCCTCGCCCGACGAGGTGAGCCGTGCCAAGTCAGCACTCGAGCGCGAGAACGCCGAGCTCAAGGCGAAGCTGGCAGTGCTCGAGCGCCAGCATCGCGAGCTCCAGACGATGTTTCAAGAGCACCTTTGTGGCGTACAGCACGCGGCAACGACCATGGCTGCCAAGGTCAACCGCCTATGTCAGGTGAACGGCAACGACGATGCGGGCGCACAGGCCTTTGATCCGCCTGCGATCGGCAAGCGTCCTACGGCGGCGCGTGCGAGCGACGGTCCTACGATGGAGCAGGCTGCAGCCAAGCGCCCATGCTGCCAGCGTGATAGTGCGGTCCAAGACCAGGAAGAGGCGCCGACGGTCCCGGCGTCCGCGCCGCCTGCCGCCCCATTGACCGACGAGGCGCAACTTGAAGCAGGCATGGACTTGACGCCGGCGTTTGTCGATCGTTTTCTCAAGTATGCCCATGTATTGCTAGTGCAACAACTCCAAATGCTGTCGTAGACACCTTCGAGCAAGCCGTACGAAGAATGGTATCTGTAACGTGACCAAGCGGGTCTGCCGCACTCTTCCGGCATCCGTGCTGTCGTCGCTCATGGGATCGGGCACGTCACCGCCGTTGCCGGCTGCCTACGGAGGCCTTCTGACGGCCGAGATCGTCGTGCTGCCTCTCTTTTTAGAGTACCCTCCGAACCGAAATGTCGTGCGGATGCTCACGCTGCTGTATTGGCACTGTAGGAATCACTGGAGCGTGACCATGGTGTTTGGACTCCACAATGCGACGAACTCGCCTGCGACGATCGTCTTTTTTGACTCGTTTGACAGCCAGCACCGCGAGGCCGGGATTCGAACCCACGTGGCCGACTTTCTGGCCGCGGTGCATCACACGACCCGGTCGGGCGCCCAGAAGCCGCTCGAGTTCCACGACGACTATGTCAAAGTGCCGTTTCAGGACCATCCCAGCGACAGCGGGCTCTGGATGCTGCGCAGCGTGGAGCTCACGCTTCGCGCGTGCAGCGCAACACGCAAGATCTCTCCGCATTCGTTGTTTGCGACCAACTTTTACAACATGACGCTCGAACATTGGATCCGCTACGGTGTTGAATCCGCGCGGGACTCGATCCAAGACAGACGCCAGACGATGATCGAGAGACTCCGTTGCTACAACTAGACGGCGTCGTATCACACGCAACAAGGATCGCGTCGTTTTTGTTTGTTGAGTCGCGTTGCCGGAAAGGCCGCTGCGTGATGCTGCAGTCCGTTAAAGTATTTTGCATTGAGATCCACCCGGCTTGCACTCTCTGTCGGGTGGTCCGAGTACAGGAGCCTGCATACGATCTCGCTATCCCTCGGCGAGTGGGGTCCACCACGGGATGGATCTCCGAGCTCACTCCCAACGACCAAGTGCTGGTGCCAACTCCCACGCATTCAGGCGTAGCACTACGTATGCGACGTCTTTGTAAGCAAGATAACGCGAAACACGTTCATATATGTATGTAACCCGCCCATAGCTCCATGCCCTAGGTCGCTAAATCCAGGCCGTCGTCGCTCATCAATGCCTCCCTCTGCAATGCATGAGGACGCCAGAAACACTTCAACCTTCCCTGCGATATCTCGCAGGAAGGGTTTTTCGGATGGCATCAAATACATTGAAATAGAGCTATAGAGCCAACGTGTACAACATGTCTTAAACTGCCTCGCCAACAAGCTGTCGACTCTGGCGTTATCACGCTCTCACGCAGGAATGCATGTCCATCACGCAGCGGTGCTGTGATTGGTCCGTGAAAAAATCCAAGACAGGCGGTGATCACAACCGAACAGCCAGCCGCCTCTGCCGACCGCGGCGATGGCTAGCATTGCGTATGGCGACGACATCTTTTGCCAGGACATTGCGGTCCTCGTGCCGACGTCGGGCGAGGCGAGCCATGACTCGCCGTCGTCTCTGTCGTCGGGCTCGGAGGCCAAGAAGCGTCGGCGGCCCACGGCCCTCGACGAGCTCAAGTACCTCCGTGCCAAGCACGACGAGCTGTCCACGCAGCTTGAGCAGCTCCGAGCCATCACGAGCATTGTGCCCGTCGAGTCGCAGTGGGCCAGCCGGGCGGCCACGCAGGCGCAAGCGGCGCAGCAAGCATTGCACGAGAACGCCCAACTCCAAGGTCTCCTCGACGACCAAATGAAGCTGCTGGCGACACTCCAGCGGGCCTTTACGCGCCGCCCCAAGCTATGTGCGTACTCGGCCATGGCGTCGTGGAAGCGTGCGTCCTTGGGCCCGACCGACCGGCACGCGACGCTGGCCCGTATCCTCGATGACCACCTCGGCAAGCTCAGTACCGAGTACATTCGCCACGACCTGCACGCCCACGAAGCGAGCCGCGAGCGCTACGTGCATGTTCAGCTCGAAGATAGCGAGGACGGCGATGAGGCGTCCTTGGTGCTGCACATGACGGTCTGCCACTCGTGGCCAGTGCCGTTTATGGAGCTTGCCGCGCTCTTGTGGGACATGCTTACCACGCCGATGCCGGATGAGTACG